AGGGAAAGGAAATCAGGATCTCTATAACGCCTGTAACTTTATTAAACTTTTCTGGTGTGTTACAGCGTTTTGTCTCATTCCTTGCTGCACCCTGGAGGACAGATACTCAGGTGGTAGCAGGCGTGGTAGCAGGCACCACAGGGTATACAGAAAAGCTTTTATAATTACAATTTAAATTTAAATGCCTGTTGCATTAAACACTGGTGTAAGAAGTAATGTCAGAGATCAAGCAGCAGCCAAAACTTGCAGAATAATGGTCCAAACTTGAAGATATTCCCTGCAGAAGCCTTGTCTCCTAAGTCAGTTAATCTATGCAGATGGAGGGGTTAGAGAGAGACCTTCTGTGCATAAAAATTAGCTAAAATTCACCCCTCTTCACTGTTATATTGTCTATTTCATGAAGTCTCTGTATATATTAGCAAATAAAATAAGCACAGAACACAAAGCATGTTCTGTTTATCCGTACCACTTGTTGATGATCAGGACCTTGCCTGGTACATCTCACTGCAACCAGCTTTCAAACAGGCAGACTCCTGAAAAGCCCATGGAGATATCCTTAGGCTGAGACAAACCATTACAGGTGGGTTAGAGAGTGCCTGCACAGCACAGTACTTCTGGAGCTTTTTCTTGCCCTCAGACATCATTCTGGTGCAATTCAGTTTAGATAAAATATCCATCTGAAAAAAAATCTAATGGGAAAAGAACCCTTTTCATGACCCTCAAAAAGAAAAAAGGGCATAGCCTAATGTCCCAAGTATGCAAGCTGTACCGACTTCAGGTATAACCCAGTATTATCTATTTACTTGTTTGGCTCCTTGCTGACATATGTCAAGAAAAATGGAAAGTATCAGAAGACCAAGATCAAAAAATCTAAAAGAGATCATGAAGAACGGGGTTTTTCTCACTGAACTTTGGATGCCTAGGAGCAAGATGTCTACGACTACAGCTACTCCCTCTGAATTCCTTTGTGGATGTTGGAACCTGAAGGCAGGTATATTCTTCTTTAAGAGGACATAAAGTTACAGAGTGTAAACTCAAAATGAAAACTGCATTTGTAAAAGCAATTTTTCATCTTTTACTATTTCTTGTGAAGACTAACTGCACCAAGCTTACAAAAGACTGTCAATCTCAAACATTATTAAATCACCAAAGTTATTCTTTCTCTGCCTCAGTTCACTTATTCAACAACCAGAGATTAATCTTCTGGCCTCTATCCTTTTTATTTACTTTCTGATAATACAAAATTTTTTCCACAGCCAAACCCCAAAACACTGTTTTAAAGAAAGAGACAAAATTTGCTTACATTTTAAAAGGAAAGCTACATGGCAACTCCCAAAGAGCAACTGGGAAGAGCAGCCTACAATGCTCAGGAGCCATATACAGGGGGTATCTGAGAGCTACATATTTACACTGAATGACCTCTGAATGACATGAAGAAGGAATTAGGCAGCCAGTGAATCCCTGAGATGATGTCTCACAACAGGAGCCAGTGAGGCTGCCACTCTGCAGGGCTTGTCAACAGTAAAATCCTGAGAGGTGGAATGTTTCCACCTTTTCTGAAAGCAGTATGTTTTAAAGTCAGACCACAAGTCTGACTTTAGGCACCTAGAATCCCATGCTTCTTTACTCTTTTTTAGGCAAATTCCACTACCTATTCCCATAAATTATGTAAAGTCACCTGGGAAACCCTTTTTAAAAGCTAAATCTAGTATTGTTTTTCAAGGAGGAAACTCTTCAAGGCCAACTTGAGCAGACTTCACTGTTGCAGAAGTGGACACTGAGAGTGGATAGCCTGTCTTGGCACTGCATGGTAGAACAAAAAAAAAATAACAACAACAACAAAAAACAAAAACACCAAAAAACCCACACACACAAACACACACACACACACACACACACACACAAACAAAACAAAACAAAACAAAACAAAAAAAAAACCACCAAAACACCAACACAAACAAAATTAGTGGTTTATATCTATTTCTGTAGGTCCAAAAAATTACCTTCAAGTTAGGTGTTCAAGGCATAAAGCACTACATCAAAACGTTGTACATATCCAAATTGTTAGAAACAATTCAACTACATTATTTATCACTTATCAACTGGGCTAATCACCCAAGAAGACACTTCACACCCTCACCTGCTCGTTACTCTCTCTGCACAATATGGTGCTGGGAAGCATGCACAGATCCAAAATATATAGGAACTTACATATTTTAAAGCCAAAAGTATGGTAACTTTATTCATTTTTATGAAACAAGCAATATATGTCTCAAGCAGAAAAGACTTAATTGGCTTACTTCAGGACTCTGATCAGTTTCTCTTATCCTACATTGGTTCTTTCCAAGATCTCATCAGAGAACTTTCCATTTTTGTGATGGATGCTATTTTCATATTTTCACTACTAATCATCTCAAGGTTTTTAAGATTTCAAGATCTGGTAATGAAGTAGTGGAAGCATTTCACAAATGAAGCCCTAATCCTGGGAGATCTTTCATGGTTGGGTTCTTGACATTTAACCCATCCTTTCTCTTTATATTTACCAACAACAGTGGACAGATTTTTGGAAAACTGCCTGCTTGTTTGATCCTCCAGCGGATCAAAGGATCCAGTTTGATCCTTCAGCAGATGCATATCAGGCATTCCACGAAATTTTTATATGTTTCATCCTGGTTCCAGCCCTCTTGCAAAAGTATCCTTCATACTATGTGGACTATGGTGTTCTGTAGCCTGGACCTGTTAAACATTTGTTATCTCCTACAGCTACGTGGTATTTCTCAGCTCCCCTTCGCTGCAACAGATTGTTAGCCCTCCAGCATCTTTCTCCTTGCTCTCTGAGATCTCTCTTTCAGCTCTACAGAATTAAGTATTTTCTGTGCCCCTGAAGAGTTGGTAACATCAACCCAAAAATTTCAACAAAACCTCAGGCGCTACTAGATCACAAATAATTTTTCAAGTATTTCTTCCCTGACTAGGCATACAACCTCAGCAGAAATCCACTAAACAAATAAGTTTAACCTCCTTACACAGAAAACATGTTCCTTTTAGCAGCTTATTCAGAAGAATAAACTCCTTTATAAGTTATTTTTGGTTGAGAGAAAATATATTCATACCAACAGAGCTTGTTCTCTAACAGGTCACTTTCCAGTTACATACACTTTTTTGAAGCAGTGGAAGTCATGCCTTTGAAAGGGTTCCTGCTTTACCCCAGATTCATTTAAAAGAGTTTCACATGTCAAATGTAAGATGCATTTCCTTGCTTTTGATTTCTCTTTCATGCATTTAGCCTTTCTACTCTCTGTATTGTCTATTCACATTTTTTCAATAAAAGTCAATATAAAAATAAAGCCAAGAAAGAAAAATAACAGGGGTTCATTGCATTCCTGTGTAGCTTTCTGGCTGCATGATAAACTCACTCAATTGAATTTCAGGCTCCAATGGTTCTCTTTAAAGCTCAAAATACTCAATAATTTTACATTTCGCTTGAAAAAAATTCTCTGAGTACCATTCTACCTAAGCGGCAGGTCAGTCATGCCAGGACTAAAAGCATCTCCTTGCAGTGGATGTCCACTCACTCCATAATTAAGGGTATGTCCATTATTTTGGTAAATGGTTCTTTTCTTATTTGACAGTAAATACTTTTTCCTGAAGTTTACTGAAAGGTGTTGTAATGTGTAAACACTCAATCTTTATCAAGCACACTTTATTCAAACCTGTCCTTTCCTACCCAAGGATTACATTACCACAAAATCCGCTAGGCCTTGTCTACACTGGAATGTCACCATGGATTAGTTTCCTCGCTTTATTTGCAGCGACTTACCTATATCAAATTGAAATGCATCCGTGCAATTCTGCTATGTCAGCCTAAGATACTTTCCTTGTTAATCATTGCATCCACAACTTTACGCTTGCTTGAATTAGCTGCTCAGCATTATAAGCATTTATCATGTGCCTCAGTGTTAAATCACTCAGGTCTATAATTTTCAGCATGTTGTGGTACATTTACAAGAAACTACAGGAATCCTGGGACTGAGGTCAAGTGAGTGGATTCCTAGAGCCTCCTGTCCCACCAGAACTGCTTCCTGGCTGTTCTTATCAGCCCAGAAGGTGCAACACAGAGGCTCCACAATTTGGAGAGTTGTTGGCACAAGCTGGGTGGCAGATACAAATTTTCGTCTGTGAATTTGCCCCTCCGTTTCCATGGATCAGGATCTTCCATCAGATGTTAAGCAAGCATCATCACCCACAGCACCTTGCAGGGCTTGGTGGCTTATCCCAGTCCTCATGTTCTTGCTGGCCTCAAAGCACCTTCTAGTACATGAAGGAAACTTACAAGAAAAATGGGGCAAGACCATTTACAAGAGCATGTAGTAAAAGGACAAGGGGGAATGGGCTCAGACTGAAAGAGGGTAGGTTTAGATTAGAAATCAGGATGAAATTTTTTACTGAGAGAGTGGTGAGGCACTGGAACAGATTGCCCAGAGAAGCTGTGGATGCAGCACCCCTGGAAGAGTTCAAGGCCAGAAAGGACGGGACTCTGAGCAACCCGGTCTACTGAAAAGCATCCTTGCCCATGGTGGTGGAAGTAGATGATCTTTAAGGTCTCTTCCAACTCCAACCATTCTATGATTCTATGACTCGGGGGAATAAAAAGGACTAAAACAGACCATTTACTCAATTCAGCACGGTGAAACCTGCGCATAGGATAAGTTTTATTAGGGTAGAGGAGATCACCCTTGTCACCGCGTCAGCATGGGCACTGCACCAGCGTTCCCCATGGCGCTGTGCTTCCCGAAAGGAAGGCCGCGCGGAGGCCGAGAACTCCATGGGTCCCCCAGGCCCACGACGGGACAGCGGCGGCCCCGCAGAGCCATGAGGGGCCGCGGCTCCCGCCCGCCCCCCAGGGGAGCGCTGCAACAACGCGCGGCTCCTTCCCTCCGCCGGGCGGCGGCTTGGCCCCGCCGGCTCGCCGTACCGGGGCTGGCGGGGGGCCGGGGCCGCAGCGCGCCCGCGGGACTGCCGTGCTCGTGGGGCCGGGCCGGGCCGGGCCGGGCGGGTTGAGCCGAGCCGGAGCGGGCCGCCGCGATGGCGCAGCACGGGCCGAGCGTCACGCTGTCCCTCACGCTGCCCATCACCTGCCACATCTGCCTGGGCAAGGTAACGGCGCCCCCGCCGCACCCCGGCCCCCGCGGCCCGGGCCCGGGTGCGCGACGCGGAAGGCGGGGAGCGGGGCGGTCCGGCCGGCGGCGGAGCTCAGGGGCCCCGCCGTGGCTGCCGTGGCGGCCTGACCCCCTACCGGAGTTGTCTCTTTTAAGGGGAAGGAGGTTGGGGTGAGGGGTCCCTTCTCCCCTGGGGGCCGTTCCCGGCTGCAGCCGAGGTTTGTTGGCCGCACTGGAGTGTCGGGAAGCCAGTGGGAGCGTTCCGGGTGCTGTTGCGGGGGGCTCGGGTCCCGAGGCCGCCCAAACGCGGGTGTGCGGCTCCCTAGGGGAAGGGTTTGAGGTTTGGGTTTTTACCTTCCCGTCCCAGTAAGATGCTGTGCATCGAAACGCTCGGTGAGCCTGTGTTTGAGCGTGGCGCGGTGTTGCGGAGTACAAGTGAAACAAAGAGAGGATGTGTTACCAGGTGGATTTAAAACGTGTTGAGCAGAACTGCAGCAGTCTGGAGAAAAAGTTTCCAGTTTTCTTTTTCTGATCTTTTCTCAGTTCTTTTCTCCCTCAGGAACCAGAGGGCTCTTGGCTAGTCTGTTCCTCTCTAAAAGTCACAGAGCTAATTTCGTAGTGGTCACTAATTGCTTCTCACATTCTTTTCTCATTCCTTACTACTCTTTTTTTTGTTTGTTTTCTTGCTCTCCAAAACAAAACTAACCTCTTAAAGCCTAACAGTAAGAAGCGAAGAAATAGCCTTTTATGTTTCTGCTCAGGGCATTTATTGACTGGTTTGTTTCTGCCTCACCTGGTCTTTATTCCCAGACCTTCTCTGCTGGAGTGATGACAAAAGAGCAGGCACGGGCGCGCTGATTTATAAAGTGGATGTAGCACTGACAATGAAAGTAATCAGACTTTTCTCAAGTCTTTTCTTAATTCTGACAGAGTTACTTTTGGCAAATGTTTACTCATTTCTTGGCTTTTCTGGGGAAGCCGAGCAAGTCTTCCAGGCTGTTGTCTTGCTACCCTCCTTTTCTATTTATCTTTTTAATGAAAATGGAGGAGAACACAAAAGTGTGCCTGTAATGCAGAGAGGAGAGTAGAGCAAAATCAAACCAAGGCATTTTCAATTTGAATCCAATCCTAGTTACTTTGTGACAGATTGGTCAGGTATTCATTCATATATTTCTATAAATCCACTGGGTTATTTCAAGCCATTGTTTCATATTTCCACTTCTTTTCTAAAGTTGGTCAGGAATGGATGTTCCTGAGTTTGTACTGGAAGAGATTTCCACACTCTTTCTTGCTATCTTGCACTGAGATAATACATTATGTCAGTGAATCTATGGGTGCTACCTGTAGTAAAGGTGTTTGAATGCTTTTGGTTTTAGGTGTGTGAAGCTGTTTAAATTTTGCCAAGTTGACAGCTCTGACCGTCCTTTCTTCTTAATGCGCATCTTTGCCTCTAGCTTGGAATTTCATTGAAAAACTTCACCAGAAAAAACTCTTCTCAGAAGTATGGTTAGCATAAGAGAGTTGTTTAGTTTAAATTAAGGAAAATGTCTTGTAAGTTTTGTCCTGTCTTGTAGGGTGAAGCAGAGAGTATTGTGGAGAGTTGACTTAATGTGATGCTTCTGTGGTTTGTAGCATAGGCTTCAAATCCAGTAGAAGGCCCACCCTGCAATCAGAATGTACTTCCTGCTATCCCTGAAAAATTTGCAAAGGTCTGACTGCAAAATAGAAATTACTTGCTTTGTGTAATGGTAAGGTGATAAAAAAAGAGATACTGCAGAGAAACTCATTCAATAACATTGTTTTTAACAAAGCAGAAATCTTGGGCAGGAAGGACACATTAACCCCTTTTGTTAACTTCAGCAGTGTCAGAAAGTATATTGGCAAGATGTGTAAATAACCATTTATAATAAGAGCTAATTGCTTGGATCAATTTCATGTTTGTCACTTGAACATTCTTTTAACAAGGTCTGAGCTGTCTTCTAATGTATCCATATTTATAATTAGTAACCATATCAGAAGCCATCTGCCTTGGACTGTTATGTTTACTTGTCCCAGAATGTCTGAAGGTCTCTCAGACCTGTTGGTTTTGGTGTTGACAGTTTGCTTGGGCCCGAGCACACAGTTCTGTGTTGACTGAAACTGCGTAGGATGTCTGGGGATTTGTTCACTGGTATCAGTGTGTCTGCTTTTCCATGTGCCTACTCCTCTGTTAATCCTGCTTGAAGGTCCAGAAGTGCCTTCAAAGTGACATAGATGTGTATAGGATTTGATTTTGATCTGCACAGGAATTGCATTTTGTGGGAGGGGAAAAATTGGTCAAAAGGAAAGAGGAAATTGCTCAAGATTACCTAGCTGATCAAGTCTTCTCAAATGAGCTGTAGTCTTTGTAGACATTATGGTCAATTAAGGAACTGAAACTGGGCTGTAATTCAAGTAAAATGCTTTTTGAGAATGTCGTGGTCCCCCAACCCCCCGGGCTTGTCACAGTTGATGGCTTAGGAACTGCACGAAGGGCAGCAGCACCCCCAGCCACTGTGTGATATCAGTAGGGCTTTTATTTGGATTGTTTTGTGTAGGTCCTGATCCAACAAAAGTACAAAACCCAGACCTGGAATGAAACCTGTAAAGGTGTGTAAATCAGAAGCACTGTACCCTGGAGAGTAATGTGACTTACTATTTTGTTAGAGATATGGAGTAATCATTCACTTGCAAGAAATGTGCTTCTGTATCAGGTTTGGGGTAACTGGGGGTCTCTTGCTTTCCAGGGGTAAGACTTGCACTCCTGAAATGTCTTTTTCTGTTTGGATTATTTTATGTTATTCTGTTATGTATCTTATCATCACCATCCATATAACTATTCTCAGATTGCTTCTGAGTAAGAAGGAAGTATGGCTAGAGAAAAAGCTCTGGTTTGGGGTGGGGTTTTTTTGGTTTGTTTTTTTGGGGGGAGAGGTGTGAGGGGGTTGTGCTAGCTGCTGGTAAGAAAGCTCTTTTTCTGTTAAAGAAAAGCAGTAAATAACAAGATTTTTAAAAACAATCGAAATTTTAATGGTTAAAATTTTCCAAAGCAGTAGTGTGCTAATGCTTGCAATAATCACAAAAAAATGTTGATTATTACAAAAATCTTCTCCTTAAAGGTGAAGTTCAGTCTCTCTCCATTCAGAACTCCAGTAACTTGAACGTCTGTTTATGTATAGATAATTCCTGTGGCTCCCAGGACTGTCATGTTGGAGATCCTAAAAATATTGTGAATCGTGTAAGAGGCATAGGTAGTGAATTGGATAAGAAGCTGACGGACCTGGGCCTTAATACATATCCACATGTTTTTCAGTGCATATCAGTGTATTTCAGTGGTAAAAAACAGGACACATCTAGTCTGTTTGCCCAAGTGATTATTGGCTGTCATTTCCATGTCCTTGCTTTTCCCTGCCAATGTTTCATTTTACTTTTTAGTTTGACTACTTTACTAATAGAATGAAGAGGAATATCTTGAAAGAGCAGTATCTTGGGAGGTGATGAGGACTTCATTTAAAGTTGAGAGGATTCTCTTGAACTTAGGTTTTAATTGCAGTACAATAGAATCTGAAGTAATATATACTGATGCGTCTGTGTCTTAAAATATGTTTCTTGGGCAAAGAAGGAGTGGAGGAAAAACAAATAATTATTTTTAAGACCCCTAGCACAGATACTAGTGTTAATACATAAGAGATTTTTAGAGTGTGTATTATAGTAAGCTGGAACAGAAGCTGCAATAAGGCATGAAGTCTTTTCCTTCCATGTCATATTTGGTCCCTCTATGCACTTTTACTTTCAAACAGGGTTTATAGTTAAATGACAAGAGAGAATAATGCATTGTCATTAATATTTTCTATAAGTTTGTTTACCCTGCTGTTTCAGAAGGGGAGCGAAAGCTTCTTGAAAGAATCTGTGTCTGATTGGAATATTTAATCCTTCAGTTAGCTGCCCCATTCTTGGGTAATGACTTATTTAGTAGCAATGCATATCTAGCAGGAGGCTTGAATTAGTGATTGCTGGTTCATGTTTCAGCTCTGTGGTTTTGGCCCTGATCCTTTTTAAAGCTGATTTCCATGAAGCTGATTATGTGCAGGCTAAAGTTAATCTGTAACGCTATACATTTCAATGACACCTCTTTCAAGGCAAAGTGTTGGTTGTTGCCAGGAGAAATCCCTCTTTCCCTTACTTTTGAAAATCAGTAAATATGGGTCTTTTGGTCTCCTTCTGCCTCGGGAGGCTAATGCATTTCACTGGAGCAGTTGACTGTAGTTCTTGGAGGTTGTGGGGTGAAGGAAGGGCGCTGCTCCCACATTGTGTGTTAATGAGCTCTTGGACCTTGGTTTGGTGCCATCAGTAATAGGGAAGTTTGGTGTTTGAGTCAGGAGGTCACTCCTAGCTAGTCCTGTGGAACAACACTGTCACTTTCCTGCCAGACCAGACTTGCATTGAGAGATGTAGTTGTGTATTTTTGTATTTTGTTACCTGAGTTTTAAAGTATTCATAGTGTTTTTCTGTTTGGGTTTTTTTTCTCCCCCTTAATACTAAAAGGTCCGTCACCCAGTTATCTGTGTGAACAACCATGTCTTCTGTTCCATTTGTATTGAAGTGTGGCTGAAGAATAATAATCAGTGCCCAGCCTGCAGGATTGCCATCACACCCGACAACCCCTGCAAGGAAATTATAGGTAAGGACAACTATAGGCTTTAAAGTAACTTTCTGGTATTTACTGCTGGAGGAAATTGCTTTGGTCCAAAGATGTCTGGATACCTTTTCGCCTGTATGTTTTTTACCAACATCTAAGGAAGAATTAACTTTAAATCTTTCCAGAAATATAATAAGAATATCTACAAGGTTACAGTTCCAAAGACAACATGTATATTAAGGCTTAGATTATTCAATAGTAATCATACCCCACACCTCTATTGATTTTTTTTAAAATCTTGATTGGATGGGCCCTTAACTGGAAACTGTGTATTCTCACTTGAAGTACTGCACCTATGCATGGCAACCTGCTGACCTAAGAGAACAGCATTTAGCTGAGAAATACCATATCTTCAATCCGGAATCTTGAATGAGTGTGTGGCATTTTTTACATTTTGTTTGTTAGTTTAGTTTGTTTTGTTTGTCACTTCCTCCCTTTTGCTTTATTTTTAAGAAAATTACTCTTAGCACAGAAATATGACAAAGCTACAGCATTTGAATGAGAATCTGAACTTCCAGAGCTAGGAAATACTGCAGTCTTTATTTAATGTAAGATGTCAGCTCTGCTATTTCATTCTGAGAGAAAAATATATCTGAACAATCTCACTTTAATACTTACACTGTCTTGTACTAATTAAATGTAGGCTGGATATTTCACCCCCTCCCTTCAGCTCTGTTTTAATAATATTGTCTTAAATAAGATAGGATTCTGTTAACGAAAATAAAAAGTTAAAACATTTAAAATTTTTCTTCCTGCTGTGAGTCAGGATTTTCACTTCTAAACACCATTAGTAGATACTCAAGTTGAACGTTTTCTGGAAGTGAAAGGACTTTAAATCTCCTGTGGTAGACAGCTGGTCCAATATTAGCTGCATTCATAATATGAAAAGTGCTGTAAGGTGGATTACTAGTATTGAATTGACTGAAGAAGAGACAATACCAGTGCTTCTGTCATCCTGTGTTGCTTTAGGAGGAACAAGTGAAAGTGATCCTATATTTAGTCCGGCAGTCAGGAAACACCTACGTAAAACAAGGCTTGAATTGCTCCACAAAGAATATGAGGTAAGGACAGGGCGGGTGTTGTGACTTTCGAGATGAACTACAGCTGTTAAATTCCTCCATACAAATGGTCCTTTTGCTTTGAGTCCTGCTGGGTTTAATTTGAGTAAAGGTTTATACTGTATCTATGTTAAATTCAGCTACATTAAAATCCCACCTTTTAACTCAGGTTACAAGACAGCATTTGCTGGTGCTTGAAGTGGCCCCACTGAAGTCATGGTAATAGTCTTTCTAGGCTACAGATAGTCAAGTACAGCCAATTCTTTAGTTTTGTGGAAATTCTACCACCAGGTGGTATGGGAGGGTTTTCTTTATGCATACTGGGTTTGGGAGCTTTTTGTTTTGACTTCAATACAAATGCAAACATTTTTTGAAGTAATTCCCTCTTGCTCAGGGAGACTAAATTCCTTCTTAAAGAATATTGTCCACTGTAGCCTTCTGGCATAGGTTAATTTTTAGCGTTATTGTTTCACTGTGTTCTGAAAGTGAGTAAATGCTTCAAAGTGGAGCTCGAATGCTTAACTCTCCTGCTGGAAAAATACTCTCTTGGGAAGAAGATGAGAAGCTGTTAATAAGGAATATGCTTAGTTTGTTTTCTCAGCTGTTGTTCCCTTAGTAGCAGCAGTGTGAAGACATCACATATTTTTGAAGAAAATCTGTCTAGGGGATGAGAATGAGGGAAGGGAAATGGACTCTATATATCTTTAACGCTGGAGAAGTAAAAACTATCTTTTATAACAAGCTTACCTATAGCTAAAGTTCTTTTGTCCTGTATGAGAGAAGAAGTCAGGAGAAAGAGATTTCCTTCCCTTCTATTGAATCGACTCTAAATTCAGACAGCTAGGCATAGAATCATAGAATCGTAGAATCAACTGAATTGGAAAAGACCTCTGAGATCATCAAGTCCAACCCTTGATCCAACACTGCTGTGGTTACTAGACCATGGCACTAAGTGCCATTTCCAGTCTTATCTTAAAAACCTCCAGGGACGGTGAATCCACCACCTCCCTGGGCAGGCCATTCCAATGTCTGATTACTCTCTCTGTAAAAAATTTCTTCCTAATATCCAACCTAAACCTCCTCTGGCAGAGTTTAAGCCTTTGCCCTCTTGTCCTACTGCTGGTTGCCTGGGAGAAGAGACCGACCCCCACCTGGCTACAACCTCCTTTCAGGCAGTTGTAGAGAGTGATGAGGTCACCCCTGAGCCTCCTCTTCTCCAGACTAAACAACCCCAGCTCCCTCAGCCTCTCCTCATAGGACTTGTGCTCAAGTCCCTTCACCAGCCTCGTTGCTCTTTTCTGGACCTGCTCCAGAACCTCAATCTCCTCCCTGAACTGAGAGGCCCAGAACTGGACACAGCACTCCAGGTGTGGCCTCACCAGTGCTGAGTACAGGGGAGGAATCACTTCCCTGCTCCTGCTGGCCACACTGTTCTTGATGCAGGCCAGGATGCCATTGGCCTTCTTGGCCGCCTAGGCACACTGCTGGTTCATTTCAGCTTCCTGTCAATCTAAACTCCCAGGTCCCTTTCTGCCTGGCTGCTCTCCAGCCACTCTGTGCCCAGCCTGTAGCGCTGCAGGGGGTTGTTGTGGCCAAAGTGCAGGACCTGGCACTTGGCCTTGTTGAACTTCATTCCATTGGAGTCAGCCCAACTCTCCAGCTTGTCCAGATCCTCTGCAGAGCCCTCCTGCCTTCCAGCTGATCAACACTCCCCCCCAACTTGATGTCATGTGCAAATTTGCTAATGGTACACTCAATCACCCCATCCAGATCAATCAGTAAAGATATTAAACAGGACTGGGCCAAACACTGATCCCTGGGGGACATCACTGGTGATCGACCGCCAACTGGATGCAGCCCCGTTCACCACCCTCTGGGCCCGGCCCTCCAGCCCATTCTTAACCCGGCACAGAGTGCCCCTGTCCAAGCCAAGGGTTGTCAGCTTTTTCAGGAGTGTATTATGGGAGACAGTGTCAAAGGCTTTGCTGAAGTCCAGTTAGACACATCCACAGCCTTCCCCTCATCTACCAGGTGTGTCACCTGGTCATTAAAGGACATCAGGTTGATCAGACAGGACCTGCCCTTCCTAAACCTGTGCTGGCTGAGTCTGATCCTCTGTCCATCCTGTAGCTGTTGTGTGATTACTTTTGGGATGATCTGCTCCATAACCTTGCCAGGCAGAAGGATAACATAAATATCTAAAAAAACCCTGAATTTAAAATGGCTGTACCCATGACAGGGGCAGAGGCAGGCTTGATTATTTGTGAAAATATGCCTTGAATTTGTGTCTATGCTATATATACTACCTTTAGTAGTCTGACCATGAAGAACTCAGGTATTCAAGTTGGTGAACAGTGGAGAAGACACGCTTTCAGGATAAATTATTTCTTTTATCCCTTTAACAAGCTTTTTGAAAGTTTTTGTTTCTTGTAGCTTTAGACTGCTACAGCTAAGAGCTCTGTGCCTTGCATTTTGAGAGTCTTTCCTAAGGTGTTGCTACTTTGGTGTTGCTGGAGCAGCCTTTTTCAGGCAGTTCTGTCCATTTTGAGTCTTGAGGCTTTCAGCATCTGAACATGTGATGTTTCCAAATGATATGAGAGAAACACTCTTATAAAACAGCAAATGAGTCAGCAGAGGACAGCCTTAAGAACACTCCTGATACAGGAAATCCTCTCACAGAGTGCCCTAATAATAGATTCATGTTGCTGAATGCTTTGAAGCTTTTGGTCTGCCCACCAGTTTGTTCAGGGTCCTTTATGCAGTCAAGGGATTCCCTTCACTAAAGTCTTCACTATGCTTGAGTGTGCAGGTTGATTAAAGTGCTGCCTAGAGCATGATACGTAAGCATACTTAGATATATATGTAAGTGAAGGCACGCATCTGGGCTTGCCAGAACCCATGTTTCCAAAGTGCTGTGGGAACTTTACAGTATTATTCAATTAATCTCACAAATTATTTTAATTTCTGTGAATTTCTGACACCTTTAGGATGAAATAGAATCCCTGCAAAAAGAAGTAGAAGATCTGAGAGGTAAAAATCTCAGCTTACAGACACAGCTGAAATCTCTTCTGGATCCTACAACATCAGCTTTGTCTTGCCAAAATGAGGAAACTAGCCTGTCAGCAAATGAAGCAAATACCAGTGGCCCAGAAACAGCAGAGGAATGGAGCAAAAAGCTGAAAGCTGCCAATGATATGTATGAAAAACTGATGGATAATGTGGAAAAGCTAAAGGAGGTAATAAATGCAATAAACACATTTCTTCAGCTATCTTGTAGTGTAACTGTTTTGTGTTAGTTAAATGGGAGTGAGAGCTAGCATGACCTCTGGGTACTTCATAGATCCAGAAGAAAGAAAAAAAATTGAATTCCAGTGACTGTTGTTGTATCATAGTATTTCCATATAGGCCTTGCAAGCGTCAGATGTTATTGCTTGTTCTAGTGAGTCCTGTATGTGACTGCTCTTCAACTCCTCCGTCACTCTATGACTGTGTAATTGGATTACAGTAGCACTTGTCAACAGTATTGATGACCAGATTTTTCAGGCTTGCAATAATCTATATAATATATCTATTTTACAACATTCAGTGGGCAAACACAGTACAGTTGGCTGAGGCAGATTTTGCACTATTGCCCTCCCTGCTAGCCGATATTTTTGGTGCAATTTGCTGAGACAGAGTAACTTGACCCTTTGACCAAAAATAGACAAGCTTCAGCATTTTATGACCAGAAGATCCTTTACTGGAAACCTGCAGCCTTTTTATACATCTTGATGTAATATTAAAAAACAATCTGATACTGCAGAAGCAGGGATGCAGGACATAGACCTGTGAAAATACATATAAATAAAAATATCTTGCAAAATATACCTGTGGGCACAAGAAGGATCACCTCAAAAATTGAAGAAGAGTGGAATTTCAAAATTAATTTGAAATCAAGGTAGAAAGAACTGGACTTGCATTTATTCAAAATGCTGCCTTTATTTTTCCTATTAACAATTCTGAGTTACCTCTTACAAAAACGAAGTGTGATGTGTTTAGGACTCTTTTTTTAACTTTTTAAGTATTAATAGTGTTCACACTTATATGCTACAGACTCAGAGGCACACATTATACTGTTCTGCCATTCTGTAGTTGATAGGACATTTCTAGGACCCCAGGAGCTTCAGAATCAGTTGTAGATGGGAAAAGGGGATTCACAGCAAGAAGTTCTTGTCTGCCTATTTTTTTTTGGTTTTTAACTTTTTCCCTAGGTAAGTAAAAAGAAGAATATAGCAGGAACTGAAAGAAAGGTTTGTTTGGGTATTTTTTTCAGTGTAACTTCAGTCTTAACAAGAAAAAGGGTTTAAGTTTATGGAATCTCTAAATTTGGTTAAGGGTTAGAAACAAATAGAGGTTTAGATGGGTTTTAGAGAACAAGCTAAACTGTTGTCCTAGAATCATTTAGGTCAGAAAAGACCTTTAAGATCATTGAGTCCAACGCTCTTCCCATCTTTTCCCTCTTCAATAGCTGCTCAATTCCATAAGCTCTCCTTTTAAACCTTGTCTCAGTTGTAAGCATGCACTGAGCAGTTCAGTCTGAACAGCAAGACCTCTTTCCCACACACACGCAGTCTGGAAACAGGAACCTTCTTATCCATGAAAGTGCCTCTCCCAGGAGTTTCAACTGTACATTGCTTGCTAGTGAGACACAGTCCCTCCGCAAATGTGCTTGCCATCAGTTTCTTTTTCAAAACCAGACTGAGTCAGGAAATAGCAACCACTTTTATTGTTTAATGTCCTAGAGCAGACAAACGTAGGAATGCCCAAAGTAGGCGTTATTGCTTTGAGTGCAGTGGAGTCATAACAAGCATGGGAGTGGTGAAACAAACCCAAGAGTAGAAATACTGGACAAAGTATACTCATTAAAAAAGCAGTTACATGAGCTTATTAATCTAGACATCATACTGCAAGTTGGGATCCCTTGCAGATTGCTGCCTTGGAGGGTCAAGCACTCTGGAGGAAGGACACCAAAGAAGTTCAGTCCTGCCTTGCCATGTGCCAGGTGGATGCCCTGCCTACCAAGGCTACGCAAGTCACAAAATGTTTTACTTGATTATGTGGTTGGGGGATCTGTCTCTGGAAAGAGGAAAAGGTCTTAGCCATATTGTCAAATGGAACTTCTTTGAAACTAAGGTTTCCTGAATTCTTACTCATTGTTTTCAGGGTAGTTTTTTGTGCTCTTATTTTTTAAATACCAAGTAGTTAACACTCAGGCACCTAAGGTCTGGGCTCACCACTCGCTTGTCTTCTTTACCAAAGGTCTCTAGTTATTCTTTTTGCCCTTGGGAATATTTGATGTTGGGGAAGCGGGACATTAGTTTATTTTTTTCCTCTCTGTTCTCCCTACCCCTCACCTGGAAAGATTGCTAGGGATATTTGTGTAAGCATTTAAAGTTTTCTGCCTCTCTTCTTGCTCTGTTTGATGCTTTTGAAAAAGTACCTTTCACTCCTGAGCCCAGTTGCATACCTCCTTCTTCAGATCTAACTCTACATCATACTTTTATTATGCGGTGAAAGTGTTATCTAATTGAGATTATGAGTTACAAGTCCTGGACTGGTGGTGCTGTTTTTAGCATACAGAGATTCAGCAGACTACGAAGTGCAAAGAGTATATTCTGATTGTTAGGATGGTGGCATTCATTGTTCTGAAACAGGGTGGCAGAAAAACTTCTCTTTATAGGAAGTGTCTTGTTAAGGAGGATGTCTGCTAAACTGAGAAGAAGGAATTGACCTCAATTCAAGGAGTAAGAAGGGTTGTGAATCAGGAATCTTAATCACAACATCCTGGAAGAAAGTGAAGAAAGACTGCAAATAGCTTGTCGTAATGCATTTACATCCGCGGGATAACTATGCTTTAAAAACAAGCCAAAAAACCCACAAAGTAATGTTGCTCTAATTTGGAATGGGGGAAGCTGTTCAACATTAGTTTTGCTGATACCTGCACATTGTAATGTTAATGTACTTAACGTATTTAGTCATGTGGAAAAAAAAACATGGAATTGCCATTAGTACATCTCCTTAATGACTTTCTGTGCTAACTAACATTGCTGTGTTTATTTCCCTAGATAGGACACTTGCAATGTATTTTGGGAATATAAATAAAAAATGTCTGTTCACTATTCAGTTTTGCAAACCATTTCCCATGGTGATTTTTAAGTGGTGTCCCTGTCTGAAGGCTGTTTCCTGCCTTCACATTTCTAGTTCTGTCTCTTTAAAAAGGAGAAACAGCTTGTCCTATAAATATTAGAAGTCATTTCTGTTTTACTGTATACTTATTTTTTTCCATTTCTTTTCCTTAGGCAAATAAGAAACTGAGCATGGAAAACAATAACCTTTTAAGAGAGAATTTGCGACTAAAGGCTGAAGTTGATAGTAGATCACCCCAAAAGTACGTGAATATTTTAAAAGCTACCATATTTTATTTATAGACTGTTTAACTGTTGTAGGACTTCAGCCTAAAACTGTGGTGGTGTACATGGTGTTGCATATGTGTCTCCAGGTAGTCTTTGGAATTTTTATCCTCATGGACTTGGGTGAAAAATGTGACTTAGGAAATAGCAGCAAGTGGGTGAAAAATGCATCTTAGAGAATAGAAGCAAGTCTACAGTGAAGGAATATGACTTGACTACAACTGCTATTCCTTGTGTTACCTGGCCAATATTGAAGGAGTGGATTCATTTGTTGCATTCTACAGTTAAGTTGTTCCTGGCAAATTTCTAAATCTGATATATGGTCAAAGTAGAACGTCTCTTACTAAGTGCAGATGTTCTGGTTGCTTGTGTTTGGGTTTGTTTTGTTCTTCCTTTTGCTGCCTTCGAGGTTTGTTTTGTGGGGTTAGGCTCCCTACTCAAGGAACGTTTCTGATAGCTTTGTGTCCAGCAGCATATGTACAATTAAGCCTCTGCAGCATGAGACCATCATTCCCAGAACTGACACCTATGTTTAATACTCTGTCATAAAGACTTAAAACACCAATGACAATGCCCTCAAAAAGCAGAAACTTTGCCATACTGCTTAGAGCTGTGTTGTAAGGTACTGTTCCTTGGGAGTACTTTTTGAAGCAATATATTGATATTTTTAAAGTTGTGTTCCTTTCTTTCATTAGCTTTCTACCGTTTCTCTGTCATTGGTTTAGAAAGTAGAAAGTTAATAGCAGTATTGGCCAAAGGTTTATACAGAGCTTTTGAGGTAGTGGGTTTGGAGGCACCTGCGTAATATGAGGAAGAGAGCTCTCTGGATTTTGTTCTAGTTCACAACTCACCTGCTGGAAGATAAAATTCATCCTTATAGAAGAGCTTACTTGCCAGACTGCTTTTCATTTGAGACAACAGAAAAGAAGATGCCTGATCCTTGGACTGTGAATACATAAAAGTACATTCTGCCCTAAAGTTCCTAATAAGATAGAGCCCTGTATAAGGTCTTGGCGATGGCTTTTATGACATGGAATATCTTTTCCCATAAGATTCAAGAGTGAATTGGCAAGTATGGCAAACTTGAAAACTAAATAAATTTAACTAAATAAATCCTAGAAAAGAAGAGCTAGAAAAGACCAGGTAATCTGAATTGATTTTTGCTTTACTGATACTAGGTAAACTCCCCAGTGGAGAGAATTTCCTTTTCTTCTAGCTTGTGCATGCTTTACCATGGTCAGAAAAAATTAGATGTCTGAGAGGCAGGGGTGTGAAGAATTAGTCTTTGTTGCAAGCCAGTTATTTTTCCATCTTTTCCAGTTTTGCCTGTCATTTTCTTCTTTAGAGGCACAGATGTAGCCAAATGTTATTAGAAATTAGACAGTTTCAAGATCTGTCTTGCAACCCATATGCCAGCTAGATTTGCCTGTTTATATCTCTGCTATTAGGTTTTTTTTATTATTTTTTTTTAATCTCCAGTATCACATCCTGCCTGCCTATTGGGAATTATCTTTGACCCATGCTAACTCTAGAACTGTGCATAGGATTTAGGACATGAGTTGAATCAGGTTTAACCTAGGCTAGGAACAGTTCAAATGCTTCAGGAGTTTGTATGTCTGTACCCTGATTCTGTTATATTCAGTTTTGGCTTTACTTTGGGCCCAGTGGTGTGCTACAAGAATTTAGGTATATGCAACAAAAAACTTGTCCTGGAAGAAACCTTTCAGCACATTAAATTTAGCAATTTTGCTTCACCCTACCTATACCCATTCATTCCTAGTTATGTCTTATAGACTGAATTTGTCCAGTTCTTCTAGATAAGTGGAACTTGAGAGAAAAAGTAAAGTTCTGTTAATTTACTTTTGCTCTGCTCTCAGGGGTCTCCAGTGTCTATGGTTTTCTGAAGCAGTAAATCTTAAAACTGGGTACTAGATTACAAGTCTCAGTAGCACTAACTAGAGCAGAAAAGCTATCTTGTGTCTTCTAAAACATCTTATATCTTACAATACCTTTTTTGTTGTTTCCTTTAACCTGACACTTCTAGCACAAATGGCCAGTACTAGTTGTGTCAAATAGTTACTTAGAAAGTTTCCTTCCTACCTCATTTTGCATTTGTGCTGCTATGTCTCCTTTCAGAGTGTGGGAGTTAACCTATTTACTGGCTTTCTTCAGGTTGATGTTTTGATGCATGTCAAACTTCATTCTTTCAAATTCCAGATGCATCTTTCAGGTGGTGGGAAGTCTCTCCCATCTTAGTGTTGTTAGCAGAATTTTTAAGGTAACTTTCATCCTTGTGGTCATCAGTCTGGTCAATATTCAGACCAGACCTAACATCAATACATTTTTTTGAAGTTCTTTCAGCTCTGATAGCAAACTTTGGTAATATCAAACAGGTCTTTCAGCTGGGTTTCACACACTGAACAGGGCTTGCAATAAATGTCTTGCTTATGAAATCAGAATTGAAAGCATAAGCGTCAGAGCCCAACAATGTCACTAGAATTAAAAGTTTCCATGCAGGTACATTGATTTGTCAGTACAGTTGTTCCGGTGTGCTTTATTCAGTAGTTTTCAGAAGGTAATTTTTGGAAAAGTTCCTGAATGAGTCTCTAGTGCAATTTAAAACAGCTACTGAATTAGATCTTTGTCATTTACTGTCACAACCATTGTTTCATTTGTCAGGTAATCCTTAGCTTCAGAGTTTCAGGTATGGATTCATGCTTAAACAACTGACTAAATTAACTAAATAAAATTCATAAGAAATTTTTTTTTAAAGGGTTTGTCAGTATTCAATCCCCATATCCCGAGTGTATTTCATAAGGACACTGGAGCTGAATAGCAAAACTTAAATTGTTTTAGTGGACTTTGCTTTACAGCAGAGGAAACACTAATGGCAGGTGAATGATCCCTTTGTAACACAGACTCTACCTCTTACATCACAGGAAAAGTATAATTACCCTTCTTCAGTGGTCAATAAAAAACTTTCCTTTTATCATAGTCTTGAGTTGTTTTTTCTTTGTTCGTATCCATTAAAACCTGCCGAAAAATGTCATGTATGTCAATAAAATTGATATTTCAGCCATCTCAGGGATTTTACACAATTTTTAAACTGATGATGCTGATTGATTAGCTTTTTATTTTTTTTCCTCAAAACATTTTTAAGAGTAGACCTTCACCAGAATTTCATAACATCATGTAGTTGGGACAGAGGTCTGACAGGCAAATAGAGGTAAGTTTCTTGCTCTGATTTTTATCAAAGACCTCCACTTGTCTCCCATTTCTCAGGCACATCAGACTGATTGGTGGTTGTTGTTTGCTCTTTGTTTACCCTTTCTCCTGATGAATTTTCAGTGACTTCCATTTTCTCAATGTGGAACAAGAAAACTTCTAAAACTTAAGTTTTGCAGGATGATAAAGCCCTGTTACTTCCAGCTCTACTTAAAATAGAAAACTGTTAGGTCTATTGGCAAGGCACTGTGGATCTAAAAGCATTTTTGGCAAAAGGATGTTTGCTTTTTACCTGAAGGAAAATAACTAGCAAGTCCATCTACTCCAGGGTATAGTGTATTTTATGAATGGTTAGATTCAAATTAGCTTGAACCAGACTTCTAGGCTTCCTAGGAGCCTTTTGCCTAAATATTTAATTCCTTCTGCCACTTAAAATCCCAGTCTGAAAAACTATCTGTAAAATGCAGAAAACTGTTGCATTATCTCTTTTCCCTGGTTTTGTGTTATTGTTGTAGTTTGAAGAGGGAGAAGGGGTTCTCCATCTCCAGTTTTACTATTTCTCTTGTCTAGATTTTGACATCAGGTACTTGTACACTAAAATCTAAGGCTGTTGACTTTTTGGGTCATTCATTACGACACTGAATTTTTTTCTAACTCAAATACATCTGCTCATGCCAGAGTTTTTAATTCAGTCTGCATTTTACTGAGCCTACAAATAACTTCTAGTAACCTGTGTCCAGGGTGCAGAAGGTAAGAACTTTGCTTTCTTCCTTGATAGAAAACTGGGCTCTGTTCTTACCTCTCCACAAGTTTGTTATTCCAGAAGAGTGACCATTTTCAAAGACCAGCTGCAGTGTGGCCTTAAAAGTAAATAGGAGAACATAGAATAAAGTAGCCTTCAAAACAACTCTTGATTTCTTGAGTCATAGCATTAAATCCAGAGGAAGCACTCACTCCAGTCTTAAAGTCTAAAGGTCTAAACCTTAAGCAGATGGTAAGGACGTTCAGATCACACTCTGGTTTTGTGGGTTTTCCGGTAGGGGGTTTTTTTCAGTAATTCTGAAGTAATTCTTTCTGGCTTATGCTGTTTGCTGACCCTGGGTATAATCTGCCTTTTTTATATGGAAAACCAGTGCTGCTTCACTGAAAGATGTTAAAATGCTTGGAGAAACTTTGCATGTTTGTCTAAATTCACCCAATTCCCTAAGTGAAAGGGGAAGCTCATTTCAAAGAATGTGCCTGGCTTGTCTGTTCTGTTCAAATCCTGCTGCTCTACAGTCATCCAACGAACAGTATATGTCTTGACCCTTTTTTTTTTTTTTTTTTTTTTTGCTTGCTAGGAAAAGGCCCCTGTCTTACAGTAACTCTTTTTTTCTTCTTAAACATACCTGTGCAAATATGACGTAGTTTTAAGGCAGTTTTGTATAAAACCTGGGATATTGTCTGATCTACAGAAACAGGAGATCACCTTTCATAGGTGATGTAGAGGGGGATTGCAGAAGTTGTTCACATACAGCTGCATCTGGTATTCGATATCACAGCAGGGCTGTAGAAGCTAGTAAGGCTTTCAGCTGGTTTGTTCTTGGATTTCCTGCCTCTTTCTTCCCACCTAACTGTAGAACCCAAGGGAATATGTGAAAACTTGTATCTACATAATGGAACTGGGTTTGGTTGTACACTCTGGCATTGCCCTTATCTCAAACTGTGACAGGCCCTGACTGTGCATTGTCTTTTTCCACTTTTCCCTCTTTGTTTCCTTTGGAGTATGGATCATGCTCATGCATCCTGAGCTGCAGGGTGGCCCCCAGCCTGGGCCATCAGGTGATTAGAACTGGAGAGTCAATTTCCATAGCATCCTTGCAGCCTCAGTCTTCTTCAGTAAGTGGTTATACAAGAAAAGTTTGTTGCAGCTACTTACTATCCACAAAGGGAAATGTTAGTGTGAGGTTCTGTGGTTTTAAACTGAGTTGATATCACTTAAGGACTCAACCAGACAGATGTGCTACAGTTAGTGGTCACTGATGTGTGAGAATAAAACCCTAAAGCTGAATTTGCAGAACTGATAGATAAGAAGAGAAGAAACAACTAAAGAAATTCTTTTTTCAATTTCCCAGACAGTTTCTAAATGGACTTGGTCAGAAGTTGTCATGGTTTAACCCCAGGCAGCAACTAAGCCCCACATAGCTACTCACTCACTCCCCTCCCAGGGTAGAGGAATGGAGAAGTAAAGGTGAAAAAACTCATGAGTTGAGATAAAGACAGGTAAATAGGGAAAGCAAAAGCCATGCACAAGCAAAGCAAAGCAAAACAAGGACTTCATTTACCACTTCTCACAGACAGACAGGTGTTCAGCCATCTCCAGGAAAGCAGGGCTCCGTCACATGTAACTGTGACTTCAGAAAACAAACACCATCACACCCTTCCTTCTTCTTTCCCCAGCTTTATATTCTGATCACAATGCCTTATGGTGTGGCATATCCCTGTGGTCAGCTGGGGTCAGCTGTCCCAACTGTGTCCACTCCCAGCTTCTTGTGCACTAAAACATCTCTGTGTTGTCAGCATTGTTTCCATCACAAATCCAAAACATAGCCCCATACTAGCTATTGTGAAGTAAATTAACTGTATCTCAGAAAAAAGCAGGATAGGAGTACTCAAACATAACTGAGGGAGCAGTTGTGGAATAATGTGTTAGTTCTTCTTGCTCACTGTAAATGAGAGCTGACTGTAGCTTTCTGTCAAGTTAGAATCATGTTGGGTCAAGAAAAAGGACTCTGATGGAGGAAAGACCCTGAAATTTGGGGTTCAAGTGTTCATCTAGACATCCAGTATCACCTTAGACACTGTAACATATCCAATACACCTTCCTGGGGCTGGTAGCTGTGACACAGGGTCTACAGAATACGTGTATCCTTCCAAAGTGATAACTGGAGGCCAGCAGTCACGTAAAAGATTTTAGGTGATCTAAAATGTCATTAAGTGTCTGTGTTGAAGAATCCAAATCCCACCTGGCATGTCTTTCTGTTCACTTTATGAATGACCACTTATTTCTCTAGGCTTTCAATTTTCTATAGAAAGGATGCATTCAGCACATGTGCATTGAGATCCAAAGTCATTGTTTCAGTGATGCAAATGAAGAACAAGTCTTTGTCCACGTGTGAGGGTCTGGCTTTCCTTCAGTATATGTATGCTCTTTATCACATGTATACTGAATACCTTAGCTTCTACTGAAGAATGCATCAACTTGTTACTAAGTGTAAAATAGTTCAAATACTTCGGGAAATTTATCTAGATTGTCAGGTGAAACTTAAATTTATTTTCATATAACTGTACTGCATACTATTGGTAGTATCAGACCATAATTTTTTCATTTATAACAGCTCACTATACTTCTGAAGGGAAAAGAGGAGGAAATCTCTTATGAGTGGTTTGGTTTGGGGAGATGAGCAGGATTCTGGCTTCTTTAACCAAAATGTGAATGCCTTAAACCCTCTGCTGACCTTCTAGGTCAGTCAGTAGAACACCTATGTCATGCTCTGGTCTGGAGTAATTGGCTTAAATATGTGCATAGTAATAGGGCTGTCTTAAAAATCCATGTCCTTGAAAATTTGGGAAATAAATGCATGCGAGTCTCAAAGCAGGAACAAAAAGCAATTACTGTTCTTTGCCTAACTGCAGAAATAACTTTGTAGGCAGTTTGTCATATGTTTCATTTCTGAAAACCAAAATTCCCAAGCACATCCCTCTGCAACAATTAACATATTAGTGATGCTATTTGCCTTTGAACAACATACTGTATTTTTTTAACCTGAGGACACTTGTTATAAAAGTTACACTTGAGAATACAGTGCTTCTTCCTCATAAGCAAATCTCAGACTGTCACTAATGCTATTTGCATTAAATAAACATATTACACCATTCTTCCATTAAAAAGGAATTACCAGGTATGCATATAAATGTAAACATGTTTTAATTTTTATGTCAGAGTGTCTGTTACAGCAGACTCGAGAAAATCTTGCTTATTTTACAGAAGCATTTTTCCCTTTCTCTCACTTGTCTGTTCAGCTAAATTGTATTATTGCATTATCTTTCTGTCTTTTATTAAGCAGTGTAGGGTTTGCACCTGTAAGATAATGTGAACAGGTCTGTTAGAGAAGGGCAAAATAAATACTTTTGGGTCATCTTAAGAAGTGGGAAAGGTCTTGCTTGGGAAAGGTCTTGACTCCTTCCATATTGTAAAGCAAAATCTGTGTTCCTTTAACTGAAGGAGGAAATAAGCCAAAATGTGTTGTATAGGAGGATGCTTGTTTCATGTAACCCACTTCACCTGACAATACAATGGAAACATTGAGCTGTGATTCTGCTTTTATCTAGTTTCATAGGGGAGACAGAAAGTTGTCTGTGCCTTTTTTCCCATTCCCCTCATGTGTGCAGCTAGAAGTGGAGAAAGTGCTACAATCGGTTGAGAAAATTTTCTGGAGCATAAGCAAATGAAAAGTGTTCTGTCTTCTTTTTTATGAACACAAAGAAAATTGGGCAGAGCTACTGTGGAGGTGGGGAGATCCTTGCCTCGATTGTGTTCCAATCCAGCCAGCTTCTTGTAGGGGAAAAAAAAATTCTTACTAAATATAAATCTTGGCATTTTTTGTCAGCCAGGTAGTGAGTGGCACATACCAAAACTCCGTGAAGCTTAGGCTGATCTGATTTTACAAAACATCTAATAGCAGTGCTTTGACAGAACTTAGACTGTTGTGTGAATCTTACCCACCACGGACCCATCTACACCAAAGTCTTCAGAGTTCTTCAAATATACAGAAGCAGTTGAATGGTGAAATATATCAGTAGATCCAGTCACTTGTGCCCGATTTGTTTGCGGCTTGTGATACCCGTTATTCCTTTCCCCAGCTACCCACTTAATAGTATTGCAGTTGTCAGCATACAACAGTTTCTTGCTGCTTTGGGCTCATGAATTAGAAGAAATAGAATACAGTTTGATTGATTGCTGGAAATGCATGCATGCATCCATGGATATTTTGCCAGTATAGTTGCAGGCCACAGATATACCACCTTCAGATTTCACTGTTCTAAGGGTTGCAGTGGGAGCATTTTGTGAAGAGGTGAGGGGATGGAATGGGGAAAATGGAATGTAAATTCACTGTGACTCTGAGGGAGGGACAGGCAGACAGACAGAGAGAAAAGGTAGAAATTCCAGGCAGTGTTTGTGCTGGAAGAGTGAATATAAACTTACGCTGTAACACAGAGATGCAAGATGGGAAGTGGAGATTTAGTGTAAGCCCACATACAGAATTGTCATTTCTTTGTGATATAAAACCTTATTTGTCAGAGTTGCAAGGTGACTGCAGGTCCTTCCCTCCTTTCTAAAAATACCAGAACTTTAATTGTTATTTTCGTTTTATAAATTGAAAGCCTTGGATGGAGCAGGGAATTCCCTGGTGCTCACCTGTCAGTGACAGGTTAGAATTAGTCAGGGCATATAGCTGAAACCTTCACCTGCCCTCTGGGGAAGGTCAGTCTTGAAAGCTGGTGGAGGATGGGGGAAGGCAAGTCCGTATCTTGGCAGTTGAAAATGTGCTCAAGCTGGAAGCCCCACAAATACACAACTTTCACAAACCACAAGTGGCAGGTTTTTGTATTGGAGTCAAGGTAGAAATTAGATTCTTCCAGTTGTAAAGCTCAAAAAACAAGTAACTCTGAAGTAAGTGGATATACTGTCCACAGAACGGAGGAGGAAAAGCTGTATATCTAACAGGAACATAATGGAAATGGTCTATATAAGTATTTAAACCACATCAAAGGACTATTGCATTTTCTGCATTTCATATTGGCATTTTGTATTTGACAAGGTGACATTGTGAAAGAAATGTGTTGTAAAACACTGCTGTACTGTAGGAAAATGATTGAATGTAAATATTTCAAGATGTGGACCACTGTTCAAATGTTATCATAAATCTTTGCCATTGTTTTAGGGGATAATTCTTCATGCATATTTGAGTTGAATTGATAGAACCAGCCCCTGGAAGGGTAATCTGTGTGTTTTTGCCTCGCTACCACTAATTTTTTTAATTTTGTCTTTTTGCATATCACCTTCACTTGTATGTTATTTGTGATGATTTTAGTATTCTTTTCATAATTAACAGAGAAAAGTTATAACTTTCGTTTTCAAATTACCACAGTGTTTAATCGCTTTGCTCTGTCTTCAAATTAGCTTGCAAGGCATCATGAGAATGTCTTTTTCCAGCTTAATATTTTCTTTCTTTTTTACTCATTGCAGGTTTGGTAGGTTTACAGTAGCTGCACTTCAGTCCAAAGTGGAACAAAGTGAACGTGAGATGAACCGTCTGAAAAAGGCACTGGAAAGAAGTGATAAATACATAGAGGAAATGGAATGTCAGCTTTTACAGCTCAAAAATGCGGGCAAAGGAAGCCAGACAGTGAGTGCTGTTAGTGAGAGCGCACTTTCCACAGATACTGAAGGAGGTGAGAGCAGTGAAGATGCAACTTGTTTGAAAACCCCAGTTGAGGAGAAAAAAACTTTGACTACCAGTCAAAGTCCTGACAGTCTTAAACAGCTGGCAAGTCGTGGAACTTGTTTAAGCTCTTCTAGTCAAGATAGTTTGAATAGCTCAAATACCCAGCGGGCCACAGAGAAAGAACTATTTCCAAGATGTCACAGGGTTGTCCTGGATGAAAATAGTACAAATATGGATGCCTGCTTAGAAGAGCAGTGGAATAAAATTGAGGAATGTACCCCATATAAGGATGAAGAACTTTATGATCTTCCACCACCATGCACACCTTTTCTGTCTCTCAGTCGCCTTCAGTTGAACACTCCTGATGGAAAAGAAAGTGTAAGGAAACCATCAACATTCCTGAGAAAATTGAGATTTGAAGAGTTTCATGGCACTTCAGATGGTGGCAGCAAAGCTTCTCCTGAACGCAGCACAAGCAGCTGTAATAGTCAAAAGAAGCTAAACTGTTTTACTACAGGAAAATCAGGGTTTTGGGGCACCTGCCCAACAAATTTTGCTGAAAACTTAGATTTTGAGGAATCAGAGCAAAATTCAGTGGCTGATCAGTCAGATGAGACAACAGCAAAGTCCGGTGATAAAACGAATTCTTGCTTACCTAAAAGGCTACATACTCTCTGCTCTTCGGAAATGAATCGCACAAGAACCTCCAGTGAGGCATCTATGGACGCTGCCTACCTCGATAAAATTTCTGAGTTGGACTCAATGATGTCCGAGTCAGACAACAGCAAGAGTCCATGCTATAATTTCAGGTCCTCTGATCTTGATAATTCTTCAAAGTCAACAGAGTGCCCTAAGCTTCTGAATGGAACTGAGAAGAAACTGGAAGAAATGAATGAGGAACAGACAATGAAGTGTCCAGAGACAAGTGATCTAGCAGCTGATAAAACTGGCTGGAAACCTGCTATGTTTTCCAACCTCTCCCCATCTGACCTAGATATGAATGACCCCTTTCCGCTGTTTACAAGCCAAAATGCAGTGGCTAGTGGTAGCAAACCTTCAAACTCTTTATTTCAAAGGGAGTTTTCCCCAAGTGTACTGTTCAGTAACTCACAAAGGTTGTTTGAGGAACAAAAGGTTGGTTCCTGTTTTTTGAAAATGTCATCTGATCTGCACAGTCAGCTTAGTCCTCCTTGGGTGTCTTCCTTTACAGCTGAAAGGAAAAATAAAAATGTCAGTCAGTCAACCAAGAGGAAAATTCAAAGCAGCCTTTCCAGTGCTAGTCCATCAAAAACCACCAAAAACTGACTCGTCTTGGAAATCAAATGTGATTTAAAGTGATAAACCTGCAAATGTTTAATATTTACAGGTGAACTGAATTTTTAATAACTTCATGCAATCTGATCCTGTCATTCTCAGCTATGTGAAAACTGAACATTCCCTTGCCCATTGCAAGCTCTTTCCTAGGCAAGAACCATTCCAGATTCTTTTCTTTGACTGGGCATTTTATGTACTTGGAAGTTTGGGGGTTTGGAATGTTCTTTTGTTTTCAGACTACATGCTCTTCCAGTTGTGAGCACAGCTAATGGCTCCCTTGAACAGGAAGTTCTAAATGGACTTACCAAATCAGTCATTCCTGTAAGAATTAAAGGTTACGTTTTCTGTTCCTAAGATTGTGGGTTTTTACACGTAAGGCAGCTACTGGCTGTATATCCTATGGATTCATGAAGTTGCTATAAAACAACGTTAGCTTTGCCGTAAAACTTTCCTCCCAAAGGAAATGTTGCTGCTCAAAGTGTTTCATAGCACTGTACGGTACTGAAGCTCTTGTTTTAGGTGAGTATAAGAGAGCAGCCTTTCTTTTCAGGGTTACAGCACTTCAGTTAGAAAACATCTCTTCTTTAACACTGCAATCATGGTTTGTCTTTTTTTGGAGTTAAGCACAATTTTTAATTTAGTTCCCAAAAAGCATTGTTATTCTAAGTGTGTTTAGTATGCCTGTATAGACCATAAAAATGGGTTTGTATGCTAATGACTTGTTTACCTAATGTGCACTGAACATCTTACATTAATACTGTACCATTTCACATTAATACTGCATGCTTTTCTATGTGAATTGAATAAAACATGTTATAAGCACTGTAATCCTTGATGTTGCCTCAAATATTGAATTAGAAAAAAAAGAAAAAAAAAAGGGGGAAATTTTTTTCCCCTAATTTGGAAAATAGGTATCTTAAGTTTTGTAAAGCATGAATGTGAGCTTATTAATAAAAAAAAATAAATCTCCCTTCCTCCTCCTTGTTAGACATACTACCATTCTAGTGTCAGCATCGATACAGTTGATGGAAATGGCTTTCGGCCTCTCTGGAGGTGACTTTTCCATAAAGTATTGCATAGGTCAACATAATGTGATGGCCTGCCACAGGCAGGAGACCTAATTAAGCAGCAGAGCAAAATTGGTTTCTTTGCATTATTGTGGGGGTTTTTTAAGGGCATATTTAATTACAAGATGCAGGTTTTTTCTTTCTGTATAGGCCTCTGATGGCATTTCTTGGAAACAGATGACCTCACTTCATCAATACCTGTGATATGAAAAATCCATACACTGCCCTTTGTCCCTTTGGAAAGAGTGATAGCCACTTGGAAACTTTCAGTAGACTGGCTTATCTTTTGTAGAGTTAAGTCCTGAAAGACTACAAGAACAACAACTACATTTCACATTGTAATGTGGGCATGCATTTATGTAATTGTGTTCGTTCTAAACTGGGATTTTTCTTTTTTGAGCTTTACCAAAAAATCGTTGTTCAAGCCACACATGCAAGGACTCAGTCCTGATGACAGGCAGGATGGCATTGTGCTTTCATGCACTGCTTTCAGTATACCACTTGAATTCTAATCTTCACAGAAAAATCTATTTGTTCAATTTTAATATATTTTTTCAAAAATTAGGGAGTTCTCAAAACCATCTGGACATGAGCTGTTACTTGATTTGGCTAGTTTTAATAATAAATCAAAAAGTGCTACCACAAGCACTTTCTTAAAACATCCTTTTGTTACAGAACAATCACAAATACACAGTTAATAAGTGCTATAGGTTGTGGGTTTGCTTAATTGTGGCATTGGGGTGCGTGGGGGGGGATGTTTATGGTCTTCATTTTAGACCGTTTTTTCATTTTTCCCTTTCAGTTATGGAGACATTAATACAACTGGTGTCATGCTTGAAATCAAATTAAAATAAAGGAAAGCAGTGGAGGGTTTTTTATGCTTCTTTGTAGTCCTTTGTTCAGGAACACCACATACAGGCTTGCTCTTCAATAGGTGTATTTTGACTATACATATCATGCAATTTGAATGGATAGAAGAGCCAAGCCCAAGGTTAAACGCTGAAAATCAAGATCGTAAATTTCTTACTCTCCAGGTGGGAAAGGGAGCGGGGCATCAGGCTGAGTGCTTGCTTTTCACTTGGAATGGTTGTGGGAGCTTGTATGTTGTATAGCCTCCCAGCTCTGGACTGGTAACTTTCTACAGAGTTGCAAGGAAGCTATCGTCGTTATCTGTAATTACTTGATTTCCAAGCTCGCTCATACTCTCAGATCTCAGCCACAGCTATAGTGAGCAGGCTGTGATTTCATCCAGTGCTGTAAATAGGAGCATTTTATGTGTCACAAGTTGTAAAGATGAAACTGTTCTGAATTCCTGTCTTATTTGGTTAACGTAGATTGCATTCCTTTTGGCTTAAAATTGGTAGTATGATCAATGCAATATCAACTCAAAAATTTCAACTATATGTAATGATTAGGCTTTCTTCATTTCTAAATTTGTACAGGCTGTACTTGGGGTTTCTTTTAGTTCTCCAGGTTGCATTCTGTCAGTGCTGTGCTTGCTTAATCTCTTTCTGCATTTAATGAAACCACCTAAACAAGAGTTCATTGCTGCTAATTTTTGACAATAGACATTTCAAAAGTGATGTACAGAGGAGATCTATAATGTCTAATGATATTTAATAGCTCACAAAATTTTTACTTCATCTAATAATACCTCCTATACTAAATACGAGGCAACTTGCAGATTTTCACACAGGAGAATTCTCTCCAGGACAATAGGTAACACAAAAAAATGAGTTTGCTACCAGCCTAGGTTTGTTGCCTGTGAAATCTGCTGGGTTATACATAAGAGCAAGGCTGCCAAGGTCAGGTTTTTACTTTGTTATTGGCAGATTTTTACCTACATGAAGTCTAGCAAGTGACCTGCTTCTCCATGACTCCCTAAAGGCTTTGTGGGAGCCCAGTTCTGCCCAGTTCTTCCTTGGGTGAGGGCTGCCCAAACAGCACTGCCTGCCAGCACCAGATAGTGACTTGAGCTGTGTTTTGTTTTAAATATGCTTTATTATCTATTTGTGAATTATCCTCAAAAAGGGGGAAAGGGGACAATGAATAGCTTGTACACATAATACAGGGTGCGCTAACTTGGGTCTTCTATCCTTCAACATTCTTCATTTCACTGTTTCTCTCCCCCAGTAATCCCATTTAAAGGCATAGCATCGAAGTCATTCCTCTGACTGCCAGCAGCTCCAGGCTTGAAATACAGTCTTTACACACTCTTCTGTGCTGTGGTTATAATAAATATTTTGCAGACTGTGGACACTCCTTCCTTGCTGCTTTTTGGTATGGGACCATCGTGTGTATAGACTAAGGCTTCTCACTTCCTCCTTCCCAGGTTTAGGTGAGAGGAAGAGCAACTCTAAGGTAGTTCATGGTTATTCCAAGGATTTCCCCAATGGCTAGTAACACAGGTCCAACCCTTCCTGTGCCTTCGTCACTTGCAGCAGTGACAAGTCTACTGCTGTGACAAGCCACCCACTTGTCAGGCCTGGTTTAAAGGGGTGGCCTGTCTGTCTTGTCTTTGTGGCCCAAAGTTGAGCTATTTCCTCGGTGTCCCTTAGCTCTAACTGGAAAAGCCATCATCATTGGCTGAAGGGTTGAGGGAAAAGCACAGCTGGCATAGGAGAAAGCTTGTATATGCTTTGTCAGCTGTGAATGTAATGAGAGACAGCAGCAGAGGATGAAACTATATTCTGGTTTCTTTGGCTTTTCTCAAAAGAAAGCAGTCTCCCCTCTGAAGCTCTTAGAGGCAGTGTGGGTCGTGTCTGCTGGTTTTCAGGGAAGCTAGGTGGACAAGTAGCCAAACTACCTACCAGGCAGCTGCCACTCCTACCTGATGCTTGTTGGGCCATCGGGTGCTGGTTTCAAGCCAGCAGAATGTGTCAGGGGAGCCCGGGGACCAGGCACTGATGAGAAGGGTCCCTGTCCTTTTCCCAGGTCACTCTGCTTGGTGCATGCCTGGGAAAGCAGTGGGGACCAGCCAGAGGGCTGGATGGCTACGTGGGCATCCTGACCTCACAGAAAATGGTGTCAGGGTTTTTTGTTTGGTTGGGGTTTTTTTTGTTTTTGGGGGTGTGTTTTGTTTTGTTTTGTTTTGTTTTTTTGTTTTTGTTTTTTGGGGTTTGGTTTGGTTTGGTTTGGTTTGGTTTTCCCTGTTCGCCTTAGAGCTGTCTCCAAATTTTGGGGAGAGAAGTGTCAACCAGGAAGGTGGCTCGGAGAAAAGGCCGGGGGAGGCCAAGGTGTCCTGCAGGCTCGCTCCTCTCCTGGCACTGCCCTCCTCGGGCTCCCCCGCCCCATGCAAACCAGCATCGCGGGTTTGTTTTGGGGTTTTTTGTGGGTTTTTTTTTGGTTTGGTTTGGTTTTTTTACATTTTTTTTCCCACCTTCATTGTTAACAAAACCCAGTGATTAAGACTCGAAACTAACAAAGAGTTTTTATTCCACCTTAACCTTGCACACAATCCTTTAACAAATTAATTAATCCTAATGAATTAACACTTCATTTATTTAAACGCGCTACAGTTCATGAATTAAATTTTCATGCAGTGATTAAAGGCTGTTAAAATATGCATGATTTCGTTAAAATTTTATAATAAATCAGGGCAATGTGTTACATGACAAGGCAACTACTTCCCAGCCCCTCGGAAGGTGCTTTGATTCGCGCGGGGGGACGGGGGAAGCCGAGCGCTCCGCTCCCTGTTTGCGCAGCCGAGCGGACCCCGGAGAGCGGTGAGATGCGGCTGACGATCGACCCCTGCCCCTTCCGACCCCTCTCCGTGTCTTTCCGGGAGAAGGAAAGCTGCGTTTTCAGGCTAACCCATTGAAATGTGGCGTCCTTGGAGCGAGAGCGCGGGCCAGCAGCTGGTTTGCCCACGGAGCAGGTGTGAAAAGCGAGCAGGGTCTGGGAGGTGTTTTGCTGGAGAGGCGTCTTGGTTAGCTTTTAATTCCTCCGCATCACTTTTAAGAAAGAGCGAGAAACTTTACTACCGACAGGATCTCTAGTGTTTTCCACCGGACCTCTGCCTGGCTCCTCCGGTCTCCTTCCTTACCCGAAAGGGGACGTTGTGAACTACCTTGGGACTTAAATCACCATCAAGCGTTTCAATTTTTAATATGACAACATTCTACACTTTGGCTGCAAAAGCAATTATTGCGGCTTGTACATCAGTAATTAGCTGATCTTTGCTGACGTAAGGAAAGTCCTCATTAGGACAAGGAAATACTTTTTGTGCATTCACCCAAAGGGTTAGTTGGGTTTTGTTGTGGTCCTTTTTACTTTTTTTTTTTTTTCTTCTGAGGGTTAATTTTTATCATCTAAATGGAAAATGACTTTTGCACTAAATAGGATATTGACTTTCTGTGAACTTCACCAAATAACACATGTACTGTAGGTTTTCTCTCAGTGCTCCCACTGACACTCAGGGTAGGACAAATACTACGACTACAAAATGTAAAGCTAACATTTGGTGAAATAAAAAT